ACACTTGCTAAATCTTTTCTGTGCACACAAGCCTTGCAGTAAGATGATAATTTGACATATGTAGTTAAAGGAGTCTCTTGCTGAAATTTTCATGTGAGAATTAGTGAGGATTGAGAGCCATAATATACTAAAAATGTAATAGACAATAATTGATTTTGTGAATTGGAAACTTCTTTTGAGAATAACTGTTCGTGTGAAACCCGCAAGCATACGAGATCGTTGAGAAGTAATAGATTTAATGAGTTAAGAGTATCGTCCCACGATAAATAAAATTTAATTGAGTGTAACAGTCTTTAATTAGATTTAAAGTGAACAAATTAAAAGTGATTTTTGTGATTTTTAATTATTCTAATTTAATCTATGAAAACGTATAAAATGCGAATTTAAAATGTATACGGGAATAGTGTATTGGATTACGAATCTACCTATTATTATCTATTCCAATTCTTGACTACGTAGCTAGTTTCGCTCTTGCATTCTTCACAATCGATAATTCTATTGTAATTAATCTTCTTTTCCAAGACAAATTAAGTCTATCCTATTCACGACCCAACCCGACCCGATCCTATTCCTAGTCCAAATTCATATGAATAGAACGCATTCAATTTCATAATTATCTTAAAGATTGCACACGTGATAAATCTTATTCCTAAAATTTATTGCACGTATATTAATCATGCAGTGTTCTAAACCTATTGTGAGCCTCCCAACACTACAACAGGTAACTATATATTTAATTGGTGATCAAGCAATCAAATAATAAAATCAAGCACGGAAGATTAATCAACAATTGTAAGAATTTAACTAAACCACGTGTCTTGAATTAAAAATAAATAATGACGGGTTTCATCTTCATCCAATACATGAGAAAAATTAGCCTAACATAATATTGGAATTATATACATAAAATTGGAAAAACATTACCGATAAATTGATGAAACGTGATTAATTCCACAAATTTGCTCGACTTCTGCGCGAATGTAACCGGTTGTTTTCTTCTCTTATACTCCAAACTGCTCCAAATTGTGTGTGTTGTTTATTTATAAAATTCAGCCCAAGCAGCCGGCAATCTTCTCTCCAATTTCTATGAATTTTGACTACGTTTTTTGTCTATATCATAAAATCCAGCAGCCAGCTTGTATTTTATTCCAACTCCAATTCTCCCCAAAGCTGCGTGATGTGTGTATATATCTATATATCCCAGTTGGCTTGTGATCACCTCCAAGCAGCTTTCCAATTCTCTTCCTAGTCGGCAGTTACCTCCTCTCTCTCCCCAACAGCTGTGTATGTATATATATGATAAAAGACCAGCGGCCACTTTTTCCTTTTGGCAGCCACCAATTCCTTTGTGTTTTTTCCTCACCTTTTTTTTCTACTGCATGTGTAAGAATATATATATATATACACATACACACACACACTACAACCGGCAGCCCCTAGGAATCCATATTCTCATTCAATTTCAATCACTTACTACTAGTCAAAAAGGGGCCCAATTTGATTGATCTTTACTTTGGAGTCCTCAATTCTTCCATGCAATACAAGTTCTTCATTCTTTCGTCGACTTTTATCCTTCAACTTTTATTCCGACGTGGTTTAGTCCACAAACTTCTATTTAATAGTCAATTGATCATTTTCTTTCCCAATTGCTTCAAAACGGGCCCTTCACTAAAAACAAAAGAAAATTAACCTAAGTTAAATAGAAATCAATAATTTGATGACTTAAAAGTTTAATAATGTGGTATAAATAAATACACAAATTACGCTTATCAATAACATTACAAGATCTATAGTAAGATGGTGGATCATACTTGGGAAATGATGACAGTCAACTTAGGATTGAATTTGCGCCTTTCAAGCCAATTTTTCTTATGATTTTAACACCCTAGTAGCCACTTTGAGCAATACACATATATAACCGTTACTTTCTATGCACCAATGTTATCCATACCTCCTCACATTGGAAAATAGCCCATAAACATCTTTTTCTATCTTTTATGCTTCAAAGTGTATAGTAGATATTGAATGTTCATTTGAGAAGAATATTAACGAAGAAAGTGATAAGAGTTGATAAGTGCTCGGGTGAAGCGAGAAAACACAAAAGAAGGGGAATTTGAAAAAAAAATGAAAAAAAAGGCGAGAGAATAATGAGAAATGAAAAATGAAAAAGGGGGGAAAATGAAGAAAAAAGGGGGAAAATGGGGAAAAGAAAAAGAGGATTGGAGTTGGGAATTTAAATATTGAGAAATGTACGAATATAAAGGATGAGATCTATTGAAATACTTGATGAAATGTCTAATTATGTACTTGGAAGTCCTTGAATTCTTTTTGTCCCTCTTTTCTTATAACCCAACTTAATTCTCATTACAACCCTTTTGCACTGGCTGTTTTAATCCCAAGTAGGATTGTGGTAAGAAGTTGATGAATTTTCAATTGATAATGTGCCTATCATGTGATCAATGTTTGCTTGTTACTTGTTCATAAATGTTTAAGCTTCCATGTTTTGAGTTAGTATCTTTTTCAACTCCGTAGAGGATAACCCTGCACTAAACACTTTCATACCTGTGAGTTATGGGACTGAACCTTTAGCTCGAGACATACTTGATGTTGCATGTGTTACGATTTGTGATAAGATGGCTATGGCTTGACACATACTCACATATTTTGTAAGTGTTTTTGATATCATGATGATCTTGACATTGTTAACCTCTTATGGTGTTGAGTTTGAAAAGGGTATGAATTGTGATTAAATTGGAACTTAACAATTTAAATTGTAGCATCACCCAATCGTTTATTTGTCTTATTTTGCATTAGATAACTAGAGACTAGCAATAAGCAAGTTGGGGGTGTGATAATATCACAAATTGTTAAATAATTCATCCATTTATTCTTATATTATTATGATATATTGACGCTTAAATGCACTAAGTATCATTATATTTTGATTTAGATTACAAATGGATGAATATAGTGGAATTTGAGAGAAAAAGAGCGAAAACTGATCAAAATGGAATGAAGTGAAAGTTTAGGGACCAAGTTGCAAATAATTCAAAGATGAGACGGGTGATGGAATGATGATTTCACAATGCTAGGGGTCAATTGGTTGCAATGAGAAGTCAAAAGAAGTGAAATATGACCATAACATTTTCACAAATCGATTTTCAACCGCACAATAATGTTTCAGATTTTTAGTCAGAGATTTTGATCTATTTTTGACCTAGTAAAATTTTGAATTGGGAAAGAGCTATTTCTAGCTAAATTGTTGTAACACCTTGAAAGTTTATGGCTCTAGAAATTTTAGGTTTAATCAAGTTTTTATGCAAGTAAATTAGCGATGCCTAAAAGCTAATTTGGATCTATATGAATATCTTTATAGTTGAGGAAACAAAGTGGAAACAAATATAAATTTATACTTTTATTTAATTATGTCAAAATGGTTAACTATTGGTGGAGTTGATTTTCCTATCAATATTAGGCTCTTTTCGAAGTTCGAATTAAATGATGAATTATAAGCCAGTAATAATAACTACTTAGTAAATAAAATTAGTTATCAATTTAGACCATATTACTATAACAATATCAGACTTATCTGATAGATTATAATTAATTTCATGTATATTTAGATAAAGTTAATTTGGACTAAATTACGTTAGAGCGATCAAGATTTGGGGATTAATTGACGTAGCAATTAGGCTTGTCATTATCCATATCATGATTCCCTTATTATTTAGTTATAGTAGGATTTGGAGTTAGCCATAATTAGGCAAGAGATTATGTGATAAGTCCTAGTGAAATTAAATTCCATGGAAGCTTTCTGCTCTTGGTCGGTTTGGTTAAAAGATGATAATGGCTACTTTTGTGGAAATTAAATAAGAGTTCTATTAGTTATTTAAACTGGTTGTTCGCATTAAATAAATTAAGCCTTATATCCAATGCAATTAAGAGTCCAACTTATCTTAATGTGTGCATAATGATAATTTAATCAGGAATAAATCAATTCAAAGAAATGTATTTAGAATGTATTTTTAATGTATCTTTTAATATAATTAGCAAAAAGGTTATAATATTTTATTATATAATAATCATGTTTATCTTCATAATTTAAAAAAAAAAAAAATAGAGATTGAATAATACCCAACTCTGTTTTCCAAATGAAATCCATCATATCAAAGGTAGTTTTGTCCAATGAGTATACGTTATAAAAAAAAGGATTGTCTTTTAAGATAATTAGGAAAAAAAAAATATATATAATATTTTATTAACTTGAAAAATGATTTAATCATATCAAATCTCTGCCTTTCCATTTGAAACCCAGTACATAGCAAAAAAAAAAAAAAAATTTAGTTTCCTCTATTTGTATACACGTGTTGAACACATGTATATAGTTTAGTTTTCTCCTACATTTGTACGTGTTGGATATAATTATATATAATGTAATTTATCTCTGTTTTAATCCTATTACTTGTGTTATCCTTAGTTTAACAATGATTACTCTTGATTTATAATTATCCTTTATATAATTTGGATAGATTTCAACCTTATAGAGGGTAAAAACTAATACAATTCCAACCCTTATCAACTACTTTATGTTGCCTATAAATACGAATGCCATACACATATTTTACCAAGAACACCATTCCTTTAACTTTGGTTCTGTTCTTTAAATTCAGTAGCTTCCTTGCTTTTACTGTCCATCTATTCCACGCACATACACGGTTTCTCAATTTCAAAGGCACCAAAACTCCTTTTTCCTTTTTTTTTTTTTACTATAAATATTCTGCAAAGGTCAAATTGTTGGAACATATTTTAGAAGCACAAAGCCGTTCTCCTTCTTTAATTACGCGCAAGGAAGTCGCAGAAGTCTGGAAATTGAAATATTCTCTTGGATTATTCTTTCAAAAATTTATTGATCTGACGAGGTAGGATACTATGTGCAAGTGATTTATCCTTGCAATATTATAATTTTTTTTACGTGATTTATTTCATGAAATGTTAATTGACCTGCGGGTCCTTATGAAATGAAATGTGAGATCTCCTTCGAGTCATCTCAAATATGTTAGAGTATTCGATTGATCACCGATTGCTCTTGATGGAATGATGGTATGGAATGTTGTAAATTCATGTTTTAAAAGTTATTATATTGTTTGGACGCATGTATCATACTGAGTAATACTCATTCCTTCAATTTTAACATTCCAGGTCAGATTGGTCAACGTGGATGGTGGCTGAGTGGTGCGCAGGTTGCCAAGTAAAAGAAATTTTTTTAGGAATCCATAATAAATTTGTTAAGACATTTTATGTTTCTCTTTAATTCCATTCATGACACTATGTTTATTTGATTCAGTGTTTGAGTTTCAATAAATTAAGGTTTTAAGTTTTAAATTTTATTTCTGCTTGATGTATGATTATGGAATGATATCGGTAACTCCTCAAATTTAAGTCAATGAAATCTGGGGCGTTACAATTGTAGTCCTTTTTGTTAACTTTTCAATACACTTTGAATAGTCTCAATCGGACATTGGAAGAGAGAGTTACGATCGAAATACTGAAAGCAGTCCGATGGGAAAACATTAAACTATGCAATCACATAGTTTAAAATGTATGCGACTATATGGTTATTTTTAGAGAATCACAGGGCCATTTTTTGGTGAACTATGCGACCATATTGGATTGTACTTGCGGCTGCATTGTACAATCCCGGCGTAAATTTTGTGGTTTCCTAATTCTATCCAACTACTTATAGTAACTTAATCTCCCATAACTTTTAAGCCCTAAATCTCTCCAAAACGCAAGAGAATGCCCCCATACACTTTTCTCTCATCTTTGGCACAAGAAACTCCATGGAGAACTAACAATCTTGGTGAATCCACGAAGGAACTCAATCGATTTTGGTGATTTCAACATCCTTTAATTCATTTATAGTATTTTCATTGTTAAACCATTCTAGGATTTAAATTTCCATATCTTGAATGTGATTTGACATTTGTTTAATATTAGATTTTTCATAGATTCAGTCATGCTTTTTCTATCGAACAATTGAAATATTTGTTGAATTTCAATTTCAATTAATTAATGTTATTGGTGTGATTCTCTATTGTCTTATACTTGATGTATATGGTCGCTTTTGAATTTGATTTCGATAATTAAATGTGGGAATGTGTTTTAGGAAATTTAATCTTTAGAATTACTGTTGATTTGATTTGGTGCTTGAAGTTATATTTTCCAATTAGAGAGTTAATGTGGGAATGTGTTTTTTGATAGTGATCTAAAATTTAAAATTTGGATCATTATAGATAATGGTTTGGTGAGAATATCTGTTATGTGTGTGTTTAAGTAGGCCTTTTGAGGAAGCATTGTAGACTTGGTGGCGAGGGTCGCGGTGTGGTTAGAAGGAGTTTGACAAGTGGCTGGGATGGGTTTGTGGAGTAGGAGTTTCAGATATTTGGCAGGGTTGGGTTTGTGGAGATGGAGAAGTTTGGGTAGGTGGCAAATGATGTTGGTTAATCGACTGGATCAAATATCCATTTTTGACTGTTCAAATAAGTGTAGAAACCACACCTATAATTACACATTTGAGGGAGACTGAATGTGCTTTTTGTTATTTTATCCCTTGTGTGAGGGATATTGTAGTTCCCGGTATGCTGTTTTGTACCAGTAAGTTTGAACAATAGTTATTATATTCCGAACTTTATTGTGCCATTTGTCTTCAATGATACGTTTTAATGGAATGCCTTACTTTACCTTTCCAAAAATAAAAATAAAAAATACCATACACATTCATTACATTTAATGAAGTAAATAAACCACGAATTCAATATTTATTTAACTATGAAACAAATGGTCAATCTGTTACAGCAAAATAATATTTTTTTGGGAGACAAACCAACACGAATAACATAATATCCAGGATCTATGCTCCTGGTTATAAAGGAAAAGTACCAACATTTATTTCTTGGATGCCAATTAAAAGTAAAAGTAAAAATAAATTTCTATGTTTAGATACACCATCTTTGGTGTTCACAGACCAATAGGTTCTAAAAGTAAGAACTTAACAAAGTTATCCACACCAGAGGAGTAGCTGTCCTCTTCATGTTGATAAATGACTTCCGAAGTTCTTGACATATTAAAGCAAGCTCTAATGATGGGTAATGGCAAGCTAGAACTGAGTAGCTCCGTGTTAAGCTCTTTCCATAAGTTTCCAATGAGTTGCATTATGCATTCCCTAGCTTCACCTTCGGATGCTAAATTTTTCTCTTTCATGAACAAAGGTATACTCGAAGCATTATCTCCTCGATCTTGCTCTTCCTGAGAAATAAAATCGTAAAGAAATAAATATTATGTTTTTCACACAATAAGTTAGAGTTTTTTCCTGTTTGTTGCTTATTTTTTATTTCCCTGAACATTCTCTTTACTCTTCCCTCTATAGTTTCGATATGTGTATAGCTTTGAAAGGCAATAAGGTATTCTTGAACACGGAATTTGAAAGTGAATATTTTAAGAACCACGAACATTAAATTATTGAGAAAAAATAGTAATGAAATTGTCTATTTCGTGAAATAAGATATACAGATGGCTTGTGAATTGGTTTGGGAAAATATTGAAAATTACTTTAGTTGTTTGGGATGATGATCTTGATAATCAAGAAGCATCTGAGCCTTATACTAATAAATTTGTATGAATCAAATTTTGTCATTTTTTTTTTTTTTGGTTCATCAATAGATAGTATTTTGAATTAGCCAAAAAAATTAGCCTCCGTTTGCATAATGTATGTCCCTGTTCGGCTTCCCATTCTTTCAATTTATAATTTTTAAAATAGTATTTTTTTTTTTTGGAGAATATCTAGTTGAAAAAGAAGGAAAAAATTTCAATTTACATGTCATATTATTTTATGAAATATCGCGTGGTTGAAAATAAGAGAGAAAAAATTATAATTTGAAATAATGGAGGCCAAACGGGGGTTTTGGCTTATAATGAGTAATAGTAAAAACCATATTAGTTGGTCCTACGAAATGTGAGGATAATAAAGACCAACGATTAGGAATATTGATCGAAATTAAAATTTGACTTTAACTTGATTCATAAATCATTTATAAATTTCAATCTGAACATTAGCTAAAATATAAGATTTTCAACTAAAGGCTTTTGTTTTGTCATGGCCTTTTTAGAGGAAAAAATGGCAACTTTGAAAGCTATGAGATACCTTTTAGGTATCTTTGAAAGGCAATGTTATAAGAATGGCAAATAGCAAGTAATTTAAAGAAAATAGTAATGAAAATGTCAACTATCTCATGAAATAAGATATACGGATGGCTTATGAGTTGGTACGAGAAAATACTGAAAAATACTTTAACTGTTTGGGTGAAGATCTTGAAAGTCAAGATATATCTAAGCCTTATACCAGTAAATCAAGTGAATTATAAGAACAAACTTTTATCATTATGTTTGGTTTATCAATTGAATTAGTCGAAAATATAGTCTCTGTACGCAAAATTTATAAAAAGCTTATAAAAAGGAATAGTAGTTGATACCACAAAACCTGTGAGCAATAATGAGCAATAATTGTAAATATACGGTCGAAATTAATAGTTGATTTTAACTCGATTTACAAAATCATTGATAAATTTCAATCCAGACAACAGGATAAAATATAAGAATTTCAATTAAAGGCTTTTGTGTGTCATGTCCTTTTTTGTAAAATGGAAAACCTGGTTACTTTATCAGATTAATATATAGACACAAACTAACATCAGAGTGAAGATGTGCTAATTAATTTAAGATTAAAAAAGAATGTGACTAAAAAGTGATCATTTACTAAAAGGAGGAGGAACGATGTGTTATTATTTTTGTCTTATTCTAGGGACGATTTGGTCTTCTGCTTTTCGTGGGGTTTTCATGGTTTTTAAACTTTCTCTTCACATTCCTTTGTTCCTGAATAGCACCTTTCAAAAGGGTTTCTACTTTCACAATAAATGTCTTAATAGAAGATATGATTTTTTGAAACTAAGATTTAAGACAAGTTAAATGATTCCAAAAGTATTGTTTCTCTTCTATTTTTCATTTATTCATTTTCTTTAGTTATTAATTAAAGCAATTAGGATCTATAAATAAATCCGATAAAAGTTTATGGATATAATACGACATAGCTTTGACGGGCTCAATGGACCTTTTTTATATTATAAAACCTTTTTGTAGGTTGGATTGATGCAAAACTATTTTTTCGTACTACCTAGTGTAGATTCATATCTCAATTAGAAGGTCTTAGATAAAGTTGCTTTATCTTTTTCAAAAATGATATGAAGTACTCTATTCCAAATTCTGTGAGTAGCCATTACTAAGACACGTCTCAGCGTATGTGTGTGTATATATATGTGTGTATATACACACACACACAATCAACTTAGTTGTTAGTTTAGATTTGAATTTTCGTATTCATGTTAATAATAAAAAGTACAAAATATCTGATTTAGTGTTAAGATATTACATGTATTATTGGGTAAAATACAATGCAACTGATAGGCAATTTAAAGAAAACATTGGTCCAATTCATCATTAAAACTAATGCATGTAATTAATTACCTTCGAAGTGCCCAAATCGTCCCAGAGTCGAAGAATCTGGCCTGAACATGAAAATATCTTTGGATATGGTTTCTCCATTGATTTTACATTTCCATGGCTAATACCTTCCCCTAACAAGAAGAAAATATGCACCAAGGCCATGTATGACCCTGATGTAGTCACTGCATTTTTTAGGTAATTTGCAAGATTTGGTACATGTCCACTGTTAAACCAGTTAGCTTCAATCATAAAAGCTTCAATGGTGTTCATCCACTGTGACAAATAAAATTCGGAAAATTTTGTTACTATCATGTTAAACAAAACGGTGGATGAATAGTTTATGTATATGATGAAATGTAACAAAATAAATTTTGGGAATTTCAAAAAAGAAAATCATTGGTAATTTCTTAAAAGGATTAAACTGAATCACGCACAATTTTACACCATCAAAATTGATTGTAAACTTTTATTTGTTTGGGAGAGTGTAAATTTGATCAAAAATAATGTTAGGTCTTCTGATCAATACAAATGTAAACTTTAATCTGGAAGAGATTTTTCAACGTTATAGGGAATTTTAACAAAAACATTCTATTCTTTTAGTATGTAACCAGATACGAAATAGTAATGTAGAAGATAGAATCCTTAGAAAAACTATTAAAAAGAAGATAAGATGGGCGACAATAGAAAGAAAAAAATGTACAGAAATATGTTACCACTCGTTTAAGGGATGGAAGAACATTTCGTCCCTGTTCTTTGAGAATATTGTAAGCAATCTCATTCGTAGTGTTGTACAGTGCCATATAACATATTTTCATGTATGCTGGAAG